TGTACACTACATAAACTAAATCTCATATTAAGCCCCAGTCCTTTTTTTTTTTTTTTTTTTTTTTTTTTTTTTAATTTGAGACAGAGTCACTAAATTGTTGAGGCTGGCCTTGAACTTGGAATCCTCCTGCTTCAGCCTCCTAAATCCCTGGGATTATAGCTCTGTGCTGCCACACCTGGCACAAAAACTAATTTAAAAAACGATAATTGCCAGGTGAGGTGGTACATGCCTGTAATCCCAGAGGCTAGGGAGGCTAAGATAGGAGGAGTTCAAAGCCAGCCTCAGCGACTCAGCAAGGCGCTAAGCAACTCACGGAGATCCTGTCTCTAAATAAAATACAAAATAGGGCCGGGGATGAGGCTCAGTGGTTGAGTGCCCATGAGTTTAATACTGGGTACCAATAAATAAACAAATAATAAACAGGGAGGCTGAGGTAGGAAGATTACAATGTGTGGCCAGACTCTAAGCAACTTAGGGAGATGCTCAGCAAGTGAGCAAAACCCTGTCTCAAAATAAAAAATAAAAAGGACTGGGGATGTAGCTCAGTGGTAAAGTACTCCTATGTTCAATCCCCAGAACCAAAATATATATACATATACGTATATACATACATATATATATATATATTTACGTATGCATACACACACATATGTATATATATATTTTTTTTCATCTTTTCTTCTCTTACCTTGTGCACCTTAGAAACTACTGGTCTGACAATCCCAGAAAGGCAGATTTTTGTTTTAGTACATAGACTCATCTTTCAAGAAGTAGAGCTTTCCAAAATGGCCAGCATCCAGGGATTTCTCAAACACTGGAAGCATTAAGCAGAAGCTGGATGAGCACCAGAATGCTTGCCCCCTACAAATTGCAGCAGCAAGGACAGATAGATTAGAGTTGGTCACTTCTAACATCCTTTCCTTTTGGACAAGTTTTTTATTATGTTAAAGGCAAGACATGACAGATAACATGCTTGTTTCTACTTATAAGAAAAGTAACAGGTAACAGAAGCTAGGCTAGTGGTTAAAAGACCTTCATCAAGCTAATGACCTTGGATAAGTCATTTCGTCTCCCTGGGGGTGTTTTTCATTTGCAAAACATTACCAGAATGTAACAGTTTTATAGTCCTTTACATCTCTAATTTTCAAAGTTCTGTGATTCTTTCTTCTTCACCAAATATTATGTTTGTTCTTAGGTTTTTAAAACATGCTCTTTTTTGGGCTGGGGCTGTAGCTCAGTGGTAGAGTGCTTGCCTAGCAGGTGCCAGGCCCTGGGTTTGATCCTCAGCACCACATAAAAATAAATAAATAAATAAATAAAGGTATTGTGTCCAAATACAACTAAAAAATAAATATAAAAATAAAATAAAGGTATAGTGTCCATCTACAACTAAAAAAGATGCTCTTTTAGAATTTTTTTTCATTTAGTTTCATTTGAGATAGTTGAATTTTAAGTGCCTTTTCAGTATACATTACACTGATAAAGATTTTATTATTTCTTATTAGTGTAATGTGTTTGGTAACTGTTATATCAACTTTGTACTTCTGGAATTGCTTGAATAATTCTTCAAAATTTCTTTATTCAATTATTTTAAAGATTTTAAAAGGATTTTACACCAATATAAATAAATAAAAATCTCCTAAATTTTCTTACTTTATCTGCTTTTTATTTCTTTGATTAAAAATCAAAATCATGGGGTGGGGTTGTGGCTTAGTGGTAGAGCACTTGCCTAGCATGTGTGAGGTACTAGGTTTGATTCTCAGAACTGCATACAAATAAATGAATAAAGTAAAGGTTCATCAACATCTAAAAAAAWTTTTTTTAAGTAAAAATCATATTTACTTCAGCATGTAAATTGGTATCTTAACTATTATTTTTACTATTTTGGGAGTATATGGAAAGAATTTATGCTTTAATAGCTTGGAAAAGCCACAGGAAAGCACTATCATAAGCAAATGACCTGTGATTATTCTTTGGCAGTTTATCRATTATGGTATTTCTCATAACCAATCGGGAAACATTCTATTTTTTAAATATCATTTTTGTAATATATTTTTTAAAGAGTCAGACATTTTGAAATTAATCAAATTCTAGYATCAAGCTGAGATAAATTTTTTCAAATCTAATTAATTTATTTTAAGGGCTGGGGATGTGGCCCAAGCGGTAGCGCGCTTGCCTGGCATGCGTGTGGCCCAGGTTCGATCCTCAGCACCACATGCAAACAAAGATGTTGTGTCTGCTGAAAACTAAAAAATAAATATTAAAATTCTCTCTCTCTCTCTCTCTTTAAAAAAAAATCTTTAAAAAAAGTTTTAATTTATTTTAAATATCTCCTATTCAACTATAAATTTACCAATTTGTACTTTTATGGTTGAGCTGACACTTTAACAATTTGATCCATAACAACTTCTTAATAATTGTTTTATAATTTTTTCTAAATCTTTGTCATTTGAGCTTAGTTTTATTATTTCCATTTTTATTTCTTTCCAAATTCTAACTGTATATTCATTGGGAAAAAATATTATTTCCACTGTTATCCCCCTAAGATCTGCCCAGGCTGATCTCAAACTGTGATCCTCCTGCCTCAAYCTCAGACAGGAATACACCACCGCTCCTAGACCTAATACAAAGATTTAAAACATAATTTTTTTTTCTTCTAGTATTGCCTAATGTCATCATGTAAATTTTCTTCCATGAAATTTGAATTTTCATTACTTAAAAAATATCTTTGGGCTGGGTTTGTAGCTCAGTGGTAGAGCACTTACTTAGCATATGTGAGGCATTGGGTTTGATTCTCAGCCCTGCATATAAATAAGCAAAATAAAGGTCCATTGACAACAACAAAAACAATTATCYTCCAGCATATCCACTATGACTTATGTTGCCTAATGAAGTATTTTTTGTATCCATGTTTTTGATCACTAGTGAATTCTATCTATGTTATTTATTTCTATAAAAAAATTATGTAACATTTTCTATTGCTCTCACATTTCTGGTTATCTGTTTATTTTCTTTCATATATTTTGGCATTATGTTTTTTTAAAGTGACTGATTTCACTACTAGATTTTCATTATATACCTTTAACTATTTTTTTAATATTTTATTTTTTAGTTATAGGTGGACATATATTTATTTAGTTATTTTTATGTGGTGCTGAGGATCGAACCCAGTGCCTCACACATGGTAGGCCAGTGCTCTACCTCTGAGCTACAATCCCAGCCCTATATACCTTTACTATTACAATGTTTACTATGAAATTTATCTTATTGGATACAATATAAGCAATCACTGTTTCTTTTCTTTTCCTTACTGGGAATTGAACCCAGGGATGCTTTACCACTGAGCCACATTCCCAGCTCTTTTTATTTTTTATTTTGAGACAGGGTCTCACTAAATCACTTAGGGCTTCACTAAGTTGCTGAGTTGCCTCAAAGTTGCAATCTTTCTGCCTTAGACTCCTGAATCGCTGGAATTACAGGCATGTATCACCATGTCCAGCTAATCACTGCTTCTTTAACATTTGTTCTAACACAAAGSAAACATAGATCATACCTCCATTTTAATGTTTTTTGTCTTAAGTATTTTACCACTTCTTGTAATAGTTGGACTTAAGTTTTTTTTTTCTTTTTTAAAGGTATGTAGAGCCTGTTTACATTTAAAAATAATTGTTAGTAAAAGTTTATAGAATTAATGCTTAAGTAATTGATTYTTCAGATTCTTCACAAGTGTATACATACATACGTGTATAAAGAGAGACATATGTAATTTTATCTGTTAACTTGGTATTATATAATATGAATTAAATTGGATTGAATTTGCTTTTTTTTTTTTTAACAGAGAAGACACTTTCTCATGTCAGCTTTCTCTCAATTCCTTAGAATAGGATAGTCCCAAATTAACTTCAAACAAAGTATTYCTATAGATAATGGGAATGTCAATTAACAAGAAGAATCTAATGAACATAGGTAAATACCTACAAATATTAAGGTTTTCATCGTGGTACAATCCTGTGCCACAATCACTCATAGTAATTCATCTCCCTTCACATTTGGCAATGACGTCGTACAAGTGAACTTGCTGATAATTAGCAAAATTACAAAATGAACCAAGGTCATTTAATCAAGAATCACAACAACAAAGGAACCCACGGAATGCAGGTCAAGGCAAGAGGCTACAGCTGGCCAGATATGATTACCATTTACCTAATTTTCATTTAGGAATTTGCTACAACAAATAAGATAAGTATAAGTATCTTCTCTGAGTTAATAGAAAAGAAAAGAACAARTCAACAGGTATTACCTATCATTATTCATTACCTATTAATATTCACGAAATAAAAATGTATCCTGAATGATCTAAAAGAAAAAATATTAATTATTTTCATGGTTCACAGTAGAAGTTTTATGCTGTCAACTTCTTTTCAGGAGAAACCATACATCAACAAATTTTTTTCAAATGCAACGTTGAGATGAAATGGAAAATCAAACCCACAGCCCAAAAGTTGTATAAGACAATCCTCCTTAGCATCAGGCAAAGAAGTGCTGTTCCCCTCTTATATGCCATTCTATTTTAACAGGTGATTCAACTGGTCCTGTAGATCTGATGACTGTTCAACACTAGAAATTAGAATAGAGAAAGGGTTTATCTGAAATGAGCAATAAAGATTTTCTTTGTATAATCTATTTATTCTTTAATGCATAAATATTGTTACAGATAAATCAAAATTCATATTGGTGGAACCAATACCAATACTTCTAGGTGTATGTGCTGCCATACCACAGATACCTAGAAGTGTTTCATTTATAAACTAGATGTAGTGACATGTACCTGTAGTCCCAGCTTCTTAGAAGGCTGAGGCAGGAGGATCACTTGAGCCCAGGAATTTGAGGCCAGCCTGGGCAACATAGTGAGAACCCATCTCAAGGGGAAAAAAATGTTGAAGCTTTTAAGAAAGGTTTGCAAAACCATCTAGTGCTGTTCACACAACTATAATCCCAGCTACTCAGGAGGCTAAGACAGGAAGATCACAAGTTCAAGGTGAGCCTAGGTAACTTAGGAAGATCCTGTCTCAAAATAAAATAAAAAGGGCTAGGGATGTAGCTTGGTAGCACTCACCTAGCACACAGGAGGCTTTGGTTTCAATCTCCAATATCACACAAACAAACAAAAAAAAGCCAATCTATTTAATGACTTTAGCACTTTTACTCTACTTAATGAATTTTACCAATGTAAAAGWTTTTTTTTTTTTTTAATTCCTTAAAGTTGGGTCTATACCCTGTAACTTTTAGAATGCCCTTACTAGCAGTGAATTGAGTTACTATATGCCTTTGAAAATTTCTGTTGTTGTTTGTAGTACAGGGGATTAAATCCAGGATCAYACATGCTAGGCAAGTGTTCTACCACTGAGCTAGATCCCCAGACCTGAAATACACTGGTTTTGTTTTTGTTTTTATTTTTTTGGTAATGGGGATTAAGCCCAGGGGCACTTTCCCACTGAGCTATATTCTTAGACATTTTTCATTTTTTATTTTGAGACAGGATCTTGCTAARTTGCTTAGGGTCTTACTCAACTGCTAAGCCTGGCCAAAGGCATGTGCTGCCACACCATAGATATACTGTGATCTTTAAGTCCTAAATGAGCTATCTCAGAGCATGCCAATTTAAGGGCATATGTCAACCAGAATTTTACACTGATCCTGGGTAAAGCAGTACAATTCTCCAGCCTGCTTTAATTGGCCCCCCACTCCCCGCTTTTGGGATTACTTACTTCTTCTGAATAGCTTCTTGCCTAAATCAGAAAATGAAAGAGGAAAATAAACATAAGAAAACCTGGTGAACTAGTAGAAGTTATTTATGATATATACAGATATATACAGGCAGAACAAATTTCCAGCTCTATATTTCACTCTATATTTCTGTCCATCCTCTCCAAAGATTATTATAAGGGATTCTTATCTGAGTGCAGAGCTGCTAAAAAAAATGGATTCTAAAAAACAAACGCCAAATATTTTCTCTGATATAAGGGGGGAGACTCAAAGTGGAACAGGAAGGGAGAGCATGGGAGGATGATTATTTCTAGAGAGGGAAGAAGGGTGGGAGGGAAAGGGAGGGGGAAGGGGAATAGCAAGATTGGGGGAAGATGATGGTCATCATTATACAAAATACATATAAGAAGTTTTGAAGTCGGTTTCAGTATACCTTATATACAAACAGAGATATGAAAAATTGTGGTATATATGTATATTAAGAATTGTAATGCAAAAAAAAGAGTACATGTACAATGGCATAATTTGGCATGAACATACTTTATATTCAGAGTTATGAAAACTTGTGCTGTAATGGGTAATAATGAGTGTAATACATTCCACTATTGTCATGTATGTAAAAAATAAAAAAAGAAAGAAATCCTCATCTCCCAATGTGATGACATTAGGGGTGAGGGCTTTGGGAGGTATTTAAGACATGAAGGTGTTGTGTAATCATCTCTCATGCATAGGAATAGTTCCCATTGGAAAAGAGACATGATTTTTCTTCCCGCCACATGAGGATACAATGAGAAGATGACCATCTGTGAAATAAGAGGAAGGCCTTCACCAAGAACCCAACCACACGGAAACCTTGATCTCAGACTCCCAGGCTCCAGAACTGTGCAAACTAAACATTTGTTTAAACCACCAGACTATAGTATTCTACCACAGCAGTCTAAACAAAGACACCACATCTTACCCCATCTCCTTTAAACTGTCTGACTTTAGAAAACCTAACCTCTGAAACCCTGATTATGCCACCAAATCTTTTACAATGCATTATAAAAATGAGAAATATATAAACATATCATACAGATTAATATAACCACAGAGGAGGTCAGAAATGATCAATAGAAAAAGAGAAGAATTCCTTTCACAGGACTCTTGAAGCAGTTGCCACAAAGTTCTTCCATAGATCTATATGTCCCTTCCTATAAAATAATAATACTGTTTATAATAATAATTACCATCAATCAGTGTTACTATAGTAAGTAAAGGGAAGTTGTTGAATAAACTTTAGGTCCTTGCAGATGATAATTTCCTAAGAACATTAATGCCCTTTTCCTATTCTACCAATGAAGCTGCATTTTAGTGTCTTTGTGGGGGTGATGAGGAGGGGGATCTGGACATCTCTTCTCCCACAGCAAAACTCCCTTTATACTACTAAGGAATTCATAAACAGCTGCTAAATTGAGCAGCTCATTCCAACTTCCACATAACCCTAACATTTCATAAAATGATTTCAAAAGAAATGCTCAGAAATATCAAAAGTAATTACCAATGGATGATACTACTAAAAATGATTTTTGATGTTCTTTTACATGCTTTTCTGTAACTTCTTATTTATCTATAATGCAAAAATTATGTTTTCATAAGGGGAAAGGTTTTTTATTAAAAGTCAAGTTATGTACATAAAAAAAAAAAAAGATGGATTCTAGGGCTGGGACTGTAGCTCAGTGGCAGAGAGCTTGCCTAGCATGTGTGAGGCACTGGGTTTGATTCTCAGTACTTCACTAAAAAAATAAAATAAAAAAATAAATAAAGACATGATGTCCATCTACAAATATTAAAAAAAAAAAAAGGTGGATTCTAAACTAAAGAGGTAACAGTACTCTCCAGAGTGAGGGAGTGGTCCAACAAACCAGAAGAATGGCTCAAATTCGGCAGCTGGTTCCATGTAACATGTGGATTGTAAGACACAGATTCCCATTACACTTGATTCCCTGGTGAAGGAGCAGTTACCACAGGAGAGACACTGGGCACAGTTGACAAATATCAGGTGCTAAGCACAGTGCCAGCATAGTCCTGGTATGGGCTCTGACATTATAGGATATCCCTCCAAAGTGTCCTCATATTAACAGAGGGAGGTTCACAAAAGGTGGCCCRTGCTCCTGATCTCACCTCTAACTCAACTTCTAAAATGTCAGGCCTCTCTCCACAGAGGAATTTCATCCTTGACCAACCTCAACTTCTCTCCCAACCCTGCCTCCATGGGGAAAATGTGCTGAAGCACAGAAGCAATGAATGCAGGCTATAGATGGTTTTGCCGCAAGCAGTTGCTAGAAAGGGAATACTCACTGGTACTGAAGATGTGTTGTTATTATTGCCATTTTCCTTAAGCTCTGCATAAAAAGAGAAAGAAGCAGAATATTCCACTTCCTGGTAGCCACACCAACTATGTATCTAAACCCAAATCATACAAGAAATTATTTCTTACGTCTTCGGAGTGCAAGATGGCATCTTCCTGTAGTACCATGTTTCGAGCTGCCTGACCCAGCAGCTGGAAGACAAGAATAAAATGGTAATGATCAAAATTTCCAAACTTCCTGCAATTTTCTCTGTGCAACTGTTCCACCACCATCCTCTCCCTCCTTCCCTCCTCCATCAAACACAACCACAAATGTTCATAATATAATGGAGAAGAACTTTCCATTTGTTCGTATTGAAAATTCATTTCATTGGCACTGTGGCAGTTCTGGCATGGGCTTGACATCTGTCCAAAAGCCTCCTCCTGAGAATCTGAATGCTCCAAGACCACAGGGCATTCTGCATAGCTTATTCATCAAGTGTCAAGAGAAATCAKCATGAAACCTTTGTTGTCTCTGTAAGTCCAGTGACAGAACTTGACTTCTGATTCTTTTTTTTTTTTATGGAACTGGGAATTGAACTTGGGGCACTCAACCACTGAGCCACATCCCCAACCATATTTTGTATTTTATTTGGAGACAGGGTCTCACAAAGTTGCTTAGCACCTCGCTTTTGCTGAGGCTGGCTTTGAACTCACTATCCTCCTGCCTCCACCTCCCTAGCTACTGGGATTACAGGTGTGTGCCACTGYGCATGGCTCWGACTTGATTCTTTAAAAGCAAATTTGGAATTTGTGGTAGTTTGAGAGTGGTGAGGTAGCAGGAGTTGAGGCTAGGCTGGAAAAGACAGGGGGAATGGATCTGTCTAGAAATGCAACTCAGTGCTGGAACTCTTACCTAGCATACAAGCCTAGCATCACCAAAAAAAAAAAAAAAAAAGGAAAAAGGAAGACAATAAAAAGGATGGGGAGGGGGTCCTGTAAAGAAGCTCCAAGCTTAGAGTGGGAACCACTACCTGGAAGATGGCCAGAAGGAGTTGGAGAAGAAAAGCAAGGAGAAATGTGGAGGCAGATTTTAATGAGTTCACGGATAGCTGGGCCTTGAAACCAAGAGAGAAAAGCTGAGCTTGGCCTCAGCTGGATGGCCTGAGGTCACAGCAAAGCTGACTGAATTGACACTGAGAGACTGAGAGGCAAGCAGAGATCAACTAAGATTTCTGGCCTCATGGTATACCCTGCTCCCAGCATCCTAAGTCCGGCCCTGTAAAGATGCAATGTGCATCCTATCAGCCCTCCCTGTTCCCCTAGGGTAGACAGTCTGGTGAAAATGGAACTGATTTCAAATTAACCAGGAACATTAGTATTGCTGTAGTTCCCAGATTCCTTCCCCCAGGAAAACTTTAATTTATTTATTTATCTTTTCAGTTTAAGTTTTAAAATTAGTAAATCTTTATGTACTTCTGAAGTCTGAACAATAAAATAAAAACCTTCCATCTCTGTCCCTCCCCCACTCTCCATGCATGGCTATTTTTATTAGTTTTTCGTTTATCTTTCCATTGTTCCATTTTAAAACAAGGACACTTGTATAGTTGTCCCTTGGTATCTGCAGATGATTRTTTCCCCGGCCCCAGTGGATACCGAATTCTGTAGAGCTCAAGTCCATTATTTAAAATGCCACCGGGTGGGTGGGCAGTGAAGAATGAAGGAACTTTGGATTGTGCAGGGGGAGTGAGGGGAGAGGGGTGGTGCTGTGGGGATGGGAAGGGTGGTAGAATGAGACAGACATTATTACTCTATATACGTGTATGATTACACTATTGGTGTGACTCAATACCATGTACAGCCAGAGGAATGAGAAGTTATGCTCCATATGTGTACAGTGTATCAAAATGCATTCTACTGTCATGTATAGCTAATTAGAACAAAATTTTTTAAAGTGTTGCTACCAAAACAACAACAACAACAAAAAAAAACTTTAGGTATGAGTGGGCCTGAGCCACTTCATCACAGGCAGATATGCGCTTTCCCTTCTGTTCCCTGACAGTTGGAAATAGACTGCCGATATTTTTACTTCTGGGTCCAGATAAGAAACAGATGCATTACATGTMAAAAAAAAAGCCACAATATTTGCACATAATCTATACACATTTTCCTGTACCCTTTAAATCATCTCCAACTTATTTATAATACACAATACAATGTAAATGCTATGCAAACACTGTATTGTTTAGGGAATAATGACAAGGGGAAAACGTCTGCACATGTTCAGTACAGGCATAAACATCACAGACGTAACTACATTTTCAATCTGCAATTGATTGAATCTGTGGATATAGAACCTGTAGATATAGAGAGCCAACAATATGTATTTACTCCCTCCCAGTTTTTACTTAAAATGTAACATACTATATGTATTCTTCCACACCCTGCTGTTTTCATGTCATAATACAACCCTCACATTGATCTGCAGCAAAATATATTGAATCTCCTTCATTCTTTTACAACTATAAGTACCACTCTATATAGATGTATCAGATTATTCAACCTGTCTTTGGGGTTGTTTCTAGTCTTTTTTTTTTTTTTTTTTTTGGTATCGGGAATTGAACTCAGAGGTACTTGACCACTGAGCCACATCCCCAGCCCTATTTTGTACTTTATTTAGAGACAGAGTTTCACTGAGTTGCTTAACACCTTGCCATTGCTGAGGCTGGCTTTGAACTCAGCCTCCTACACCCAGCTGTTTCCAGTCTTTTGCTATTGAAAGAAGTGTTACAAAGAACTCTTATGTATCTGCATTTTTGTTAGCTTACCTTTAGGACAGACTTATAGAATCATGATTATTATATGTAGTTTTGCTACAATATTACCAAATCCCCTCCACCAGGGTTGTGACACTTTGCATTCCCACCAATAATGTATGAAAGTGTGTGTTCCACTCCTATGGCCACTAGTTTTTATTTTTTTCAATGCTACGGATTGAACCCAGGATCTTGCCCAAGCTGGGCATGTACTATACCATTGAGTGATGCTGCCATATCCCTACAGTCACCTTTGCTTGGGGGTGGGGAGATTGAACCCAGGACCTTATGCATTCGAGGCAAGCACTGTACCAACTGAGCTATATCCCCAACCCCTCTACAGCCACTTTAAAGTAACACAATTCAAATACCTATAGATGGGGGATAGTGAGTGACAAACTAATTGCATAAAGAAAGGATATGAATAAAATATATGTTATTCATTCACTTATTCATTCAACAAATATTTTTTGAGTACTTAGAATATACCAGTTCTCTGAATAAGAGTAATAAGGGGCTCACAATTTTGGAGGGACTACAGAGTCATAGGCACTAAAATATCTTGAGGGAAGTGTTGACAGGGAAGCAGTGGGTACTTAAGGAGCATGTGGGAGCGGGGATGTCCAGCTTATTAGGAGGGTAGCTATTCAGGGAGGGCTTCCTAAAGAAGCAACTTCTAAGCTGAGATGTAAAGGTTAGGATTTAGACTCATTTTACATGTAATTTTTCAGAAAAATCGCATTATTAGATTTACTATTTTAGAAGTGTGGTAAGCAGAATGGACTAGGGGCAGGAGGATACAGACACACAGAATGGTTAAGAGGACGGACACGACAGGACTTCAGACAAGCAATAAACACAGAATGTGAAAAAGGGGGATTTGAGAAACATTTAGAAGATAAATGTGATGGAACGTGCAACTGCCTGGAATGCAGGGGCTGTCGCAATGCAGGGCCAAGGCCTTATCCTTGATGGCCAGATGTACTCACTAGCACTCTGCATCATTTTCTTACATAAACCAACAACACATCTATCATCTAAGACTTCCAGCTTTGCCTTCTTTAAAATGGAACATCTTGAATATACCTGCAAAACAATCTGAGCACGGAAACTCAATAAGTTTGTTTTAGCTACTCATCTGCAACAAGTATTTCTGATTCATCTTAGTTTTTTTAATAATTATTTTTTTAGCTTTAAGTGGACACAATATCTTTATTTTTTATTTTTATATGGTGCTAAGGATCGAACCCAGTGCCTATGCACGCCAGGCGAGCGCTCTACTACTTGAGCCATATCCCCAGCCCCATCTTCATTTTAGCTTTCATAGCAATAGCAGCTCTATTTTTTTCATTCATCTTTCCATATGATTACATTCAATTATGTAGCTGCAATAACAAGTATAAGGGACACACACAGTTCAGGAAAAACACAATGGATCCTCACTGAGCATGTGACTCAGCTGGATAGGACAGGTGTGTGAGAATAGCGTATTAGTGACAAGCACTCCTGTGCTGTGGGCCTAAGTGGGCACCTGTCGCCTCACTTTCTGCTCCTGGCACACTGGACTCCCTGCATTCCTTATACTCACCCTCACCTCAAGGCCTCTGCATTTGACATTTTGCTCCAGATATCCACATGGCTTGCTCCCACACTTCATTCCGTTGTCTGCTCAAATGTCACCYCCCCAGAGGCCCTTTCCTGACCACCCTGCTGAAGGTGAAGCCTTTCATCATTCTCTATTCTCAGATTTAGTCTTTTTTATAGCATCTACCACCTCTTGATTTTTTGTGTGTTTCATTTATTGTCTGTCTCTTTTAAGTAAAGGAATTTTGTTTTGTTTATCCCTTGCACCTAGAACAGCTCCTGGCATATAGCAGGAACTCTTTGTTAATAAATATTTGTTAGATGAATGCTGTGGAATGAGTGTTTTACAAGTGCAAATTGTCAATTAAACAAATAGCTATGTGGAGACTGCTGAAGCAATCTCTATGGATTAGAAGGGACTGAAAATCAGAAAGACACTCCAATAACTTCATAGGCTAATAAAGGAAATGGTACAAGTACAGAAAAGGCAACATGGTGTAAGTGTCATGTAAGAGATTCAGTACAGGGCTGGGGCTGTAGCTCAGTAGGAAGCATTAAGTTCGATCTTCAGCACTACATAAAAATAAAGAAAAGAAAATAAAGGTATTGTGTCCATCTACAACTAAAAATATTTTTTTTAAAAAAGAAAGACAAATTCAGTACAAAGTTCAGAGAATTGAGAGATGATGTATTAATCCTATCTCAGAAAGCAGGCTATATTTTAGTTTAGCTCAATCCACACATTTAATTTATGAACACAAATCTAAATATCCTTCAGCAGAAGCCCATGTGAAAAATACATAAGGGGAAGAATGCAAAGATGAGGGCAGTCAATGATGGCACAGTAACTTTTTGATCACTTAACTGAGCTAATAACATGAAAGGCAGTATTCAAGAGTATGAGCCTAGGACCAGGTTTGAATCCTAGCTGCTATGACCCAAAACAATTTAAAATCCTCTCTGTATCTTCTATGTAAGAAAAGTACCTTCTTTTTCAATAATTATATATTTTTAATCAATATAACATCTTAATGATTTAAGTTAAATAAAACATAGCAGTGTCCAGCACACAGAAAATGCTCAATAAATGTAAGTTTATTATGATTTTTCAATAATACCTTTGGTTAACTATGAACATTACCAATTTTTAAGTTTTATACATATTTTTATTTTTGTCATGCTGGGGATCAAACCCAGGGCCTCATACATGCTGGGCAAGTACTCTACTACTAAGCCACATCCCTAGTCCTATACATATTTGTACCATGTTTCTCCCCAAAAAACAATTCAAGACAATTTATACCAAATTATATGTATTTGTATGTATACACACACATACACACACACACAATTTTCTTTTTTAAAAAAGAAAAGGAATCTAAAAGACATGAAAAACAGAAGGAATTAAACATGCAAGCACCTTCTCATATAGTTGTTTTGTTGATTGGTTGGTTGTGTGAAGCCATTCTCAGTAAAGCTAAGGGCATAATATTTGGACTGGAGATGTAGCTCTCAGTAGTAGAGTGCTTGCCTAGCATGCCTGAGGCCTTGGGGTTCATCGCTCACACACACACACACACACCATTTTAAAGAAGGCAAAACTGGAAATATTACCTATGTTAAATGTGTGATTGTTTTATCCAATAAAATGATGAACAAAATATGAACAAAAAAGAAAACAAAACAAAATGATGGGCATATGTTTTCACTTCTCTTGAATAAATATCTATGAGTGGAGAGGCTGGGTCACTGGACCCGTTTCATCATCCTTTCACCAGTCCATGGGGACATATATTTTCATTTCTCCTGGGTGAATATCTAGCTCAATAGATAGGTCTGCTTGAAGGAGAGGCAGTGTATATAAATAAAGCTTTTTGGTGAGAGAAGCCATCAAATAATTCCATTCATGGAACCAGCCAGAAGATGGAGAGAGAAAACGGGGCAAAGGAGAAAGCTATTCTAAAACCAAACCAAACCCAGAAAACCAAACCAAACCCAGAAAACCAAGAATGTGATCAAAGAGACAAATCAGGAAGGAATAAATCCCTTGGCGATGCACAAAAGTGTGGAAGAAATCTGGGATGCTGATACAGAAATTCCGGGGCCGAATGGGCAGGATCTTCACTAGAGACAACCCCATGTACAATTAAGGACTATTTTAAAAGCGCAGATTCTCATCACACTTTTCTTCGCTTTAAGCCGGAGACCTACCCAGAGACTACACACCCCAGAATGCAACACGCGCCCTCCAAGGACCAGCCCCACCCCGGGCGACCAGTTCACAGCCTACACGCCCCAGGATGCAACGCGTCGACCGAACCCAACTACGAAAGACTGCCCGTTCCGGAGTGCTGGGCCGGCAGCTTCCACTCCCACCTCACCTCGGAGCTGCGGGACCCCTTGAGCACTTGCTTGGTGAGCGCGATCACGTCGGTACCACAGGTGTTCACTTTCTCAGTGAGAAGCCCCTTCACTGACTGACCAAATCGTGCTTGCGAATCCGGGGTTCCAGTCGCCATTCTAGCGAATGTCTTCGCCAATGATGGCGAGCCGCCGGGGCCAAAAGAGGCAAGCKTAGGGGAAAGAGGAGGCGTTTCCCCTCCACCCTATTGCTGGAAAAGGAAGAGACGCATGCGCCTAGCAGATGTTACTAACAGACACATTTAAAATACTCAAATTTGACAGCGTAAGGAAAACAAGGCCCAAGCAAACATCTCTTTTGGACATGGAGGATAACTTTAGTAAAATTGATGGTTTAGAATCAGAAGGCCTGAATTACAATCTCAGTTCTACCATTTAGCAGTTGCAAATGGCTCAACTGCTGCGTCTTATACTCTTCGTTTGTAAAACAGAAATRATAACGTTGAAGTTTCCGAAGATTTATGAAAATGAATTGATCATTTTCAGTTCAGCTTTTTATTTGTTTTGTTATTGTTGTTGTTTTTGGTATTGGGGATTGAACTTTGGCCACTCTACCACTTAGCTACATCCCCCGCCCTTTTTATTTTGAAACAGTCTCACTGAGTTACTCCTGCTGGCTTTGAACTTGCAGTCCTCCTGCCTCAGGCTTCCCAGTTTCTGGGATTACAGGTGTGTGCCACCACCCCCATTTTAGCCACTTGACTTATATAACCATGATTTGGTTTATGTTTTTAAATTTTATATAAATAAAACAATACAGTATACATTCTTAACTGTGTGGCTTCTTCATACAGTATTATGCTCGTGAGATCCATCCATATTCGTGCATGTAGTTGTAGTTCATTCATTCTCATCACTGTATATATTCTGCTGTAGATGGTTTTTGACAATTTATCCATTCTATAATTGATAAATATGAGGGTTGTTTTCTAGTTTTGGATTATTACAAATAGTGCTGCTATGAACACTTTTTTTCCCCCAGTACTAGGGATCAAACTTAGGGCTTCCCATATGCTAGGCAAATGCTCTATCACTGAGCTGCATCCCCAGCCTGAACCTGCCTTTTGGTGAACATATGCACACATTCTGTTGTATACACTCAGAATGGAGTTGCCAAGTCAAAGGTTCAGCTCTAGAAGAAAATGAACTTTGTTTCAGACAAAGAAGGAAAAAGAGGCATGTAAGCRTAGTGAAATTAATACAAGTTTTCAGTCTAAATTTTGCTATAAAGCTACACAGAATATTTTACATTGATCATTGTATTAGTGAGCTTTCCATCACTGTAACAAAATACCTTATCTAATCAACTTGTAAAGAGAAAAGGTTTACTTTGGCTCATAGTTTCAGAGGTTTCAGTCTGTGACCAGTTGACTTCATTGCTTTTGAGCCTGTGGAGCAGCAGTACATCATGGCAAGGAAGTATAGACAGACAGCACATGACAGAGCAAAGCTACTCACATCATAGGCGGGATGTGAAAGAGAAAGGAAGGAATTGGGATCCTATTATCTCCTTTTAGGGCATGCCTCCAGTGAGCAGAAGATCTCCCATTAGGCCCCACCTGTTTCAGGTTGTACCACCTCCCARTAGTGCCACAGGCACTACATGGGCCTCTGGAGGATGTTCCAGTTTATACTATAGCAACCATATGATCCAACATTGAGAACAAAACAAAACCACAACAACCAGTCTCTGAATAAATCCAAAAGGAGAGTCTTCAGAAAGATGAATAAACTCCTGACAAGTGAAGAAAAGAAAATGCAAATTTTTAAGAAATATATAATTGTCAAAACTGACTCAAGGACTGGGGATGTAGCTCAAGCGGTGGCACGCTCRCCTGGCATGCGTGCGGACCGGGTTTGATCCTCAGCACCACATACAGACAAAGATGTTGTGTCTGCTGAAAACTGGAGGATGACTATTGAAACTTCTCTCACTCTCCCTCTCTTTCACTTTCTCTTTATTTATTTTTTTTAAGAGAGAGTGAGAGAGGAGAGAGAGAGAGAGAATTTTTAATATTTTTTAGTTCTCGGCGGACACAACATCTTTGTTTGTACGTGGTGCTGAGGATCGAACCCGGGCCGCATGCATGCCAGGCGAGCGCGCTACCGCTTGAGCCACATCCCCAGCCCTCACTTTCTCTTTAAAAAAAAAAAAAAAAACTGACTCAAGTAGAGTCAGAAGAGTTGAGAAGATCAATACCTATTGAAGAAACTGGATGTTTTCATTTGATTTGTATCCCCACAAAAGGTACTAGGACTGATTGTTCTCATGGCCATCCTTCCTTACAGTCTCAAAGAATGAATAATTCTCATGATATTTAATATTTTTTTGGTGGTGGGAGCAGGTTCAGAAGATCAAGCACAGGGATGTTTAACCACTGAGCAACATCCCCACCCTTTTTATTTTTTATTTTGAGACAGGGTCTATAAGGTCCTTGCTTAGCATCTGGACAGCCATCTTAAGTGACACCCGCCATTTTAAGGAAAAAATTTCGCTTCCCCACCCAAGATCCTTTCTGAGAAAGGCTCACCATACCAACCCAAGATCCTTTCTGAGAAAGGCTCCCTCATACCAACCCAACCCTTAACTGCCTGCATTAGGACCTCCTCTGCTCTGATTCCTGAGCCTGCCCTATAAAAGTCCCAGAACCTCTCCTATACAGAGATGGCTATTTGTCAGCTCTGACAAATAAACTCTCATGTATATCTCTGCCTGGTCTCTGTCTTTAATTTCTCACTTCCCCGTCTCTCATTCCTCGCTTTCCCTTCATTTTGGTGCTGAAACCGGGGATCAGGTTCCCCAGAGTGTCTGCTCCCCTCTTCAAGCCCTCTCTCTGCAGCTCTTGCTCTCCCACACAWGTCCTCTCAGGTCTCACCTCCGCTATGCCTGATTCCAAAGGGACAGAAGATCCTACCCGGGACTCCTTCTCCTTCAACCCAGAAGATGAGCCCCGTCCATACCACAGTTCTCTTTCTAGTGAAGCCTCTGCAGCAACTTTTCCCTCGGCCCCTCTGCCCTTCTCTCCTCCTGCCACACACTCACGGGCTGCCACTGCCTAACCTGCATCTCTGTGTCCTCTATGCCTGTGGCTGGGGTAGATGGTGTAATCCAGGTTCATGTGCCTTTCTCCTTGTCAGAAAAGTAGCTTAGGTCCTATACTTCAAGTCTCACCACATATAACAAAGAGTTTCAGTTTCTGACTCAATCAAATAATTTGACCTTCCACGATGTCCATATGATCTTATCTAACACCCTCCTGCCTGAGGAGCACAGGTGAGTTTGGGAGCACAGCTAGAAATTATGCTGATGAGGTATGTCAGACTTCCCCTGCCCATCTGATTGGCATTGAAGCAGTCTCTGGTTGGGACCCCAATTGGGATTACAATTCGCCTAGAGGAGTAACTAGTAGAAACCAATTCCTCCCATAAGGCTATCAGTTATGAAAGGCTCCAGGAACTCTTCCAAGATAAGAATGAAAACCTTCAGCATTTTTAGACCCCTGACCAAGGCTTTATTACAATATACTAATCTGGACCCTGAAACTCCAGATGGGAGACAACTACTAATGACCTACTTTTTCTCCTAGAGTTTCCTCGATATTAAGACCAAACTAAGGTGCCTCAAGAGGGAGCTCCTAACTCCCCAAGCTGAGGTTCTGGAAGTGGCCTTTAAGGTGTATAATGAGAGAGATGCTCACTCAAGCTGTCTGTCTGGCCTTAACATCTGCCCCTGGTTCCATTGGCCAGTGGAAGGGTCCCTCAGGACCACCCATACCCTGTTTTAAATGTTGTCAGATGGGTCACTGGGCTTGTACATGTCTTAAGCCTCATAAGCATCAGGGCCTTTATCCTAAATGCCATCAGAAGGGACACTGGGTCGTTGACTGTCCCCAAGCCTATAGTGGCACCTGGCCATCCAGCCTTTCTGGTTCCCCTTTCTACTCTTAGGACTGGCTGCAGAGGATTGACAAAGCCCAGGTCCCCATCACCGATCACTACCATCACTCCACAAGAACCCAGGGTAACTCTGTGTATTTCAGCTAGGCCTGTCTCCTTCCCCCGCCCCCCAAGACACCAGGGCTACATATTCAGTCCTCAAGGAGTTCTGGGGCCTAGTACTCATTCTATGACCTCTGTTGTTAGGGTAGATGGTAAACCTTACCAACCCTTACGGACACCTAGCCTTGTTTGTGCTTTTGGCTGTCTGATTTTTACTCACTCCTTTTTGGTCATTGCACAGTGCCCTGTTCTGTTTGTGGGAAGGGACATCCTCACAAAGTTGGGGGCTACGCTTTCCTTCTCTCCTCATATACACTTCCATCCAGACTCACTTGCCACTCCCCTGATCCTCACCTTTACCTTAGGACCATCCCCTATTCCATCTGCCAGTGCCTTCTCATTACCCCTTCCAAGGTGGACCCAACTGTCTGGGATTTTTCAAGTCCTATCTCCTCCCACCACGAGCTCATTCATATCTGTCTCAAAAACCCCCTCCATTTTCTGGCCCAATCACAATACCCACTCTCCCAACAAAAACTCCTAGGCTCCAGCCTATCATTCAAGATATCTTGTGAACGGGATTCCTTAGACCTACTCATTCCCCTTATAACACCAAGGCAGTAAAAAAAGCCTTGATCCAAGACCTCTGTTACATCAACTCTGCAGTCGTCCCAATTCATCCCATGGTAACCAATCCTTATACCCTTCTCTCCACCATTCCTTCGGGACCTTTTACTTCTCAGTACTAGACCTGAAAGATGCCTTCTTCTCTATGCCCCTCCATTCTCTCTCAAGACATTTTCGCCTATACATGGACAGACCCTGAGTCTTGAAATTCCACTCAGCTGATGTGGACAGTTCTCTCCCAAGGGTTCCCAGACAGCCCTCATGTCTTTGGACAGGCCTTGGCTAAGGACCTAGTGTCCATACATCTCACTCAGTCTATGGTGCTACAGTGTGTTGATGACCGCCTTCTTTTCAGTCCCTCCTTTGAGGTCAGTCATCAGAACACCTGTAAACTTCTTAACTTCCTTTCTGCCTGTGACTACAGGGTTTTTCCATCCAAGGTACAGCTTTCCTTGGCAATGGTAACATACCTAGGCCTCCTCCTGACCCCTACACACAAAGCCATTACAGTCGATAGAAAGGGCCTTATCACTAATATACCAAACCATCTACTAAGGAAGAAWTTCTCTCCTTTCTAGGTATGGCGGGATTCCTCAGAGCTTGGGTTCCTAACTCTGTATATTGGCTAAGCATCTATATGATGCAGTCCGGGGCCCACTCTCTGAACCCCTATTGCACTCTGTTACAGAGCCCTTCACCAGGCTCCAGCAGGCCCTCTTCCAGGCCTTGGCCCTCCATCTCCCTGATCACAAACACCCTCTTCATCTTTACATGGCTGAAAAGCAGGGATTTGCTCTAGGGGTCCTTGGACACATGCTGGGGCCAACCTTTGCACCTGTGGCTTATCTTGACCCTACTGTTCRGGGATGGGCYCCTTGCCTATGAATGTTGGCCCCAGCCTCTCTACTCTTTAAAGAGTCAAAGAAGCTCACCTTTGAGGCCCCATCATCCTGGCTCCCCATCACCTAAAGGAACTCCTCACCTACAAGGGCTTACGTTCCTTACCCCCCTCACCCCCGCCTCGCCTTTTATCTCTACAAGTTTCCCTGGTGGAAGATCCCAGTCTTACTTTCCACATATGCTCACCATTACACCCTGCTACTCTCCTCCCCGCYCCTCAGGACTCTTCCATCTCTTCTCCTCTTACCCATCCATGCATTGAAACTCTGGAGGAGTTTCATCCACATCCCTCCCACATACAGGAAGGCCCCTTGCTCCAGGCAACATACACATAGTTCACAGATGGCTTCTTCCTTCAGGAAGGAGTTTGTAGGGCAGGGTGTGCTATAGTCTCTAACCTTGGTTGTGTAAACAGTTCCCCTCCCCCATAATACATCCAATTAGCAAGGCTGAACTTGTTGCCATCATCAGAGCCTTCACTTTGGCAAAGGGAGCCTCCCTCAATTACATTTAGAGTGGACTAAACTCCTTCYCTTAGCTCGTCTTAAGTTATGGGCCCTCCCAAAGAAGCTACTCAGCATCTCCCCTTTTGAGCTTCTATATGGACGGCCCATCTCCCTGCTCAGCTCACCACTCTCTGATTCTCCACTACCCCTTGCTCCTCATCTTTTCTGGCCCCTTCTTGCATACATTAGGAAACTTCTTTGGTAATACAGAGATGCTGTTTGGCAAAGCCTAGTTCTGCTTCGTCCCCTTCTCCCACTCTGTCTCCTGGCGACCTGGTACTTTTTATCACCCCCAACAGGCCCCCTCCTCCTCTCAATTCTCTGCAAAATGGACTGGACCCTATCGGGTCATTCTCACCACTCCCTCAGCAACCCACCTTGAGGGCGTCCCATATTGAGTTCATAACTCCCATTAAAAACAGTCCTCTCCATTATTTTATGCAGTGAGACCCACAGGCCCTCTCAAGTTGTGTTTCTCCAAGCTCGGAACCCCCAATCTTCCTTCTGTCTCTGAGGACCACGAGGACACTGCAGAACCACAAGTACCACCCTTCCCTTTTTCATTTTTGCCCTCCTCCCTCATTCTGCTCTCACCTCCCGGGGTACCATTACCAGGAATTACCATTCCAGTTTCTAGGAGACTTATAGCAACTTGCTCAAGTCATACTAACCATACAATCCCCGCTTAATTCTTTAGCTGCTGTGGTTCTGCAGAATCCAAGAGGCCTTGACCTTCTTACAGCCGAAAAAGGCAGACTTTATCTGTATCTACAGGAGGAATGTTATTTTTATGTCAATCATCCTGGTATAGTAAAGGACAAGATAAAACAGGACCTCGAACATCGTTGGCAGCAACAGCTCTCCTCTGCTGAAGGAATACCAAACCCTCACCAAAATTGGGCCACTGAGGACAGCATTCCATCACCACTCAACCTCCATCATAGTCCCAATGATTCCAACACTGTCCCTTCCCAGCAGGAAGCAGTTATTGAAGACTGACCTACATCCATGTTCCCTAAGGGGCCCAATAAAAACAAAAAATCAAGGAATATAAGGTCCTTGCTTAGCATCTGTGCAACCATCTTAGGTGACAGCCTTGCTTTCTCACCCAAGGGTCTTTCTGAGAAAGGCTCACCTCTCCCTCATACCAACCCAACCCTTAACTGCCCGTATGAGGACCTCCTCCGCTCTGATTCCTGAGCCTGCCCTATAAAAATCCCAGACCCCAAGCCTGTTTTGCCTCTCTCTTCTATAGAGAGATGGCCCTTATTTGTCAGCTCTGACAAATAAACTCTCGTGTGTATCTCTGCCTGGTCTCTGTCTTTCATTTCTCCCTTACCCGTCTCTCGTTCCTCGCTTTCCCTTCAGGATCTTTCTAAGTTGCTTAGGGCCTTGCTAAATTGTTGAGTCTGGCTTTGAACTTTTGATCCTCTGGCTTTAGCCTCCTGAGTCACTAGGATTACAGACATGCACCACCACACCTGGCTTTTCAATATATTTTCTCTATATTGGACATAGAAAAAGATTGAATGTTTCTCAGATAAATGTATAAACTAGCAAAATCATATTACCAAAGCCTGGCAATGCACAAATAAGAAAACTACAATCYAATTTTTCATATGAACAGAGATACAAAAGAAATGAAAGCCTAAGTAAATCACAAGAGAATTCAATTGTGTTAAATGAAGACATTGAAAAAATTTAATATTGTTCTAGGAATGGTTGAATACCAAGAAATATATTAATGAAATGCAACTCAGAAATATTTGTTACAAATCTTTAAAATATGCATACATAGTCTTTGACCAATAACTCCCCTTTTAGGATTCTATCCTACAAGAAAATATTAATGGTGGGCTGGGGATGTGGCTCAAGCGGTAGCGCGCTCGCCTGGCATGCGTGCGGCCCGGGTTCGATCCTCAGCA